TTTTTTTTTTAGGTAAATCTTTTTTTCTGCAATATGTAATCTGCCATTAATCCCGTCCGGTGTACCTTTCATCTCATACGTTGTAGTTTAGTAGTAGAAGTTTCATTTGGGTTTTTGTTATATTTCTATTTGAAAATATGGATAACATTTATTAAGTTTCAATATTCTTCTGTGGTAATTCTAATATCTTTTGTCAGTTCTGAGCTTGGTTTTTTTCTTTTCTTTCCTTTTTGAGACAGTGTCTCACTCTTGTTGCCCAGGCTACAGTGCAGTGGCATAAGCCTAGCTCACAGCAACCTCAAACTCCTGGGTTCAGTTGATCCTCCTGCCTCAGCCTCCTGAGTAGCTGAAACTACAGGCCCCTATTGCAATGTGTGGCTAATTTTTTCTATTTTTAGTAGAGATGGGGTCTTGTTCTTATTCAGGCTAGTCTCAAACTCCTGAATTCAAGTGATCCTTCTGCCCCCACCTTGGCCTCCTAGAGTACTAGGAATACAGGTATGAGTCACCATACTCTGCCCAGTTCTGGGCTTGTTTTGATTGATTATTCTCATTATGGGTTATGTTTTCTTGCCTTTTTGTATGCCTGGTAATCTGGTTGGATGACAGACATTATGAATGCTGCTTTTTTGAGTGCTAGTATCCATATAAATCCTCTTGTGCTTTGTTGGGATGTAGCTAAGTTTCTTGGAAGTGGATTGATCTTTTGGATCTTGCTTTGTGATTTATTAGTCAGGTCCAGAGCCGTGCTAAGCCTTGTGATAATTATTCTCCACTACTGAGGTAAGATTTTTTTCTGAGTACTGTACTCAATCACCTATGAATTATGAGTTTTTCTAGTCTAGCTCATGGGAACAGATATTATTCCCTGCCCTGTGCAAATGCAGCAAACTGGTCCTTCTAATTCTTTCATATGTTTTGTTCCCATAGCCTCAGGTAGTTTCCATATGTATATTCTCTGCTCAGTACTCTGCTAAATGCTTGAGGGATATCCTCTGCACAACTCTAGGGCTCTGGGTGAAGCTCTCTGTCTGCTCACTAACATTTTACTCTTGAACTGTATTTATCTTGGTCTCCCTAGACTCTCCGCTCTGTTTCATCAGCTCAGATTGTCCACTGGGCTCCCTGTGCCACAGCCTGGCAACTCTTTCAAGGAAGTAAGCTGGAGTAATGGTAAGGCTCACTTGACTGGTTTCTCATCTCTCAGAAACCACTGTCCTGGCTTGGCACCTGTGGCTCAAGTGGCTAAGGTGCCAGCCACATACACCTAAGGTAGCAGGTTCAAATCCAGCCCAGGCCCGCCAAACAACGACGGCTGCAACCAAAAAATGGCCTGGTGTTGTGGCGGGCACCTGTGGTCCCAGCTGCTTGGGAGGCTGAGGCGGGAGACTCGCTTGAGCCCAGGAGTTGGAGGTTGCTGTGAGCTGTGATGCTACAGCAGTCTACCCAGGGGGACAGCTTGAGGCTCTGTCTCAAAAAAAAAAAAAAAAAAAAAAAAGAAAGAAACCACTGTCCTTCATTGACTGATATCCACAGTCCCTAAAAACTGGTTTCATATCTTTTGTCTTTGTATTTTCGGTTGTTCCTGGCAGGACGGTAAATCTAATCCCTGTTACTCCATCTTGGCCAAAAGAAAATATCTAGAATTGACTTTAATTGATGTAGTTTTTAACCTCCTTTTGAGGGGGAGGAAATCAAGTGGTTCAGATGCTAATTAACAGTAAAGTAATTTAGTTTCAGCAATAGGAATCTGCCAAGTAAAACATATATGTCAATGAGGAGCTTCACTGAGAAGAAATACCAGATGATACTTCTTACCTTTTTCTGCTTATTTAGCTGATCTTTCAGTATTAGTTTGGGTGAGTACCATAAGCTGAATTATAGTTACGCCTTTATCTATGACTAATTTCTGACTCTCCACGATTCAGTTTTTACAAATTTTATAAAATAATCTTTAAGCTTTTATCTTCTAAAAAATATGACTTTTATTTGCACTCACCTTGGTGAATAGCATCACTTACTACTTTTTCTTGTTCCTTTAAAAGAAACCTTGTTTGGTCGAAAATAACAATGGCAAATTTCCAATGAGCAGCAGGGAGACTACAGAGGCATACAAGTTTTTTTAAGACAGGAGCAGCTGCTGCTTCTAGGAGAGAGTATGCTTGGCACTGACTATCTGCAAAAATAAAAGCATTAAAGGCAGTGTTTTCATAAGGAAGACACACTCTTTTTGATATACCAATTAAACATGTTAACATCAGGGAAGCCAGAACTCCTATCTAAATTCTTCTCTGAGTTAAAAATTATGAGATTGTATAGGGACTTAGTTTAGGATATTTACTCTAGAGTAATAATAACAACCCCCCATATAATAATATAATTTTATGACCATATTATTTATTAAAAAGGATTTACTCAGTAACTAATTTGACATGGTATGATGATCCTTATAAAGAGAATTACATAATTTTTTTCTTCCTCCATGATTAGCTTATACCTTAAGCCAAACATATTTGTAACAATGAAAAATTGTTTTCTAGTTCCCACTAAAATATCATTATTTAAAGATTTGCATAATCACTTTGGGATCATAAGTAAAACTGAGTCAAAAGAATGAAAAGATACTTGAGAATCAGTGTTATATTTCCTTATTGATTTTAATGAGGATGATGTTCTTAAGCAGCAGGCTGTTCCTTAGAATCAAAGAACATTCTACACAGCAGAACAAAAAAAAAAAAATCAATAGAGGAATCAATAGCAATTTATTTACAACATCCTGATAGTGGGTAAGAGAACAGAGAGAGAGCAACTATTAGCAGTTCATTTTCCAAACTAGACAGAAGGCTCTGAAGAGTTGTAGTTGTTCTCTGATTAATGTAGGGAAGCAGCAGCAGTTTAAAGGAAGGAAGAAATAACTTAGTAGATGGGGATAGGGAAATGGGGACGGGAAGTGACCGCGACCAGGGCATTCCAGGTCTGGAAATAACTTGCAAGTATGAGTGTTATCAAAAAAGAAAATTTCACGGAAAATGAGGTATGTCCTAGATATCCAGGAATGGGCTTTCAAACTAAGTACATTTGAATGTATTTTAAAAGCATGTAGCATACCTGACGCTTGAATTCCAATGACATTATTTGTTCCCCTTTCCTGATTTGTTCTCTCCAGAGTTGTATTAGTACAAATAATAGGACTTTCTTCTTGACAAGTCAAAGAACATTCTTCCTTATCTTGAAATTCTAGTAAGAAATATTAATTTGTGTTGTTCAGAAGAAATTTAACGTTGCTTTACTTTTATGCATTTTTCTAAAATACAGTTATTAAAATTTCTTCACTAATACACATTAGCATTAACTGAACAACTATTCAGCTCAATGGACCTAACATTGTGCCAGGTAGGAAGATGAATGGTAAAAATGGAAAGAACTTCTGCACCAGATCAGTGTTTCAATTTCAGTCCTGACACTAGCCTCGGTTTCCTCATTTATGAAAAATTAATAGTTATAAGGATTAAATACCAAGTACAGTTTCTGACACACAGAAGTTATGGTCTGTTCTATTTAACTTCTCTGACTGTCCACATATCCTTCCCTCTGTTATTAATTCTCTCCTCTTCCCCAAGACTTCTCTGTTTCCATCCTTTCTTAACTAGGTCAATCCTTACTACTCACCTTGCAGCTCTCGGGCACCTCCTATAAGATGTCTTATGTGACTGTCCACCCTATGGTCTAGGCCTGCTCCTTCTTTTTGTTTTCTCAGCACTCTACATACCTCTCTCAGCACCTATCATGCAGAAATGATCTGTCTGCATGTCTGGCCTACTCTATTATAGTGTGAGGTCGTCAGCAAAAGCATCATATTATCTCTAGTATGTAATATAGTGCCTGGTACAGAGTGTTCAATAAATATTAGTTTCCATTCTTCTTTCCTAGGTATTGTAGAAGATATACACACACACACATGCACTTCTAGTCATTTTAATCAAATAGAACTTTTATCTATTAATAAGATAATTTTAGAAACACGTTATCTTTAAACACATGGTTAAAAATGTAATAGAGTATATCCTAAATGGGATTAATGTTATTTCAAATAATACTTTCAATTAATTATAAATAATTCAAATAGATATAATCAAATGAAATTAATTATAGGAATTTAATAGGAGGCCAAATAAGTTATAACATTTCTTGCCCCTGAATCAACTGTAAAATAAGACAAGAAGCAAAATAGGTATATAAATATTACCTCTCTTATTACTGAAGGCTATGTTGGAGAATAGAGCTTAGTTTGAGAGTCAGATGAACTTGACAACTAAATACCAGAAGTAGGCAGAGTTACCAACCCAATACTAGGGTATGACGATCCAGAAAATGATACCTGCTGAGCAGGTTCTAGGGAGTAGACCCTGCACAGGAAAGTATCATGAAGCCAAGGAAAACGCCTGTTCCTCCTAGCAGCTCATTCCCATAAACTTATGTCTAATTTATTATTTCCATTTATTTTAAATTATAATTCAGATAATTCCTTCTACCTCTTCTGAGGAGAATGTATAAAGGGGCAAAGAAGCCAGGAATGTAACACTAATTGAGGAAACACAGGATTATAGAAGCATTCCCACCTAACATTAATATTTCTTTAATTGTTCAGTAAGTTAATACCTGGTTATTTTTTACAAGAACATGTTCTTTTTGTTTTCTTCTCCTTTCTTGCTGCTTTGCCTCATTTTCTTTCTTTCTTTTTTTGAGACAGAGTTTCACTATGTTGCCCTTGGTAGAGTGCTGTGGCATCACAGCTCACAGCAACTTCAAACTCTTGGGCTTAAGTCATTCTCTTGCCTTAGCCTCCTGAGTAGGTGGGACTACAGGTGCCCACCACAACACCTGGCTATTTTTTGGTTGTAGTTGTCACTGTCGTTTAGCAGGCCCGGGCTGGGCTGGAACTTGCCAGCTTTGGTGTATGTGGCTGGAGCCCTTACTCACTGAGCTACGGATGCTGAGCCTCCCTCATTTTCTGTTGCTAATATATCCTATTATAAACCATCATCACAAGTATGGCAACCAGAAAAGGATGTCAGTGTTAATTTGGAGTAGATTTCTTTTTTTACAACAAACATGAATAGAATCTGAAAACATTAAGAAATCTGATTCAATCAAATGTTTTAAAAATTCCCCTTTTCACAACATATTTATAAAATACTTTATATTTTGTTCATTTTTTCGGAAGTCATGCTTTAATTATCGTGCAAATATTGGTTAGATCTCAGTTACATATAGAATTGTCACCTCGGAAGGTAAGTTATAAGGTGGTCAAACTTATATAAAAAGAAATTTAAAGTGAGTATATAAAAACATAAAGGCTCACAAAATTTTGAAATCTTTAAATACTATTTTGCATTTTCACCAATTTTTTCATTGCAAAAAATGTGCTGACTGATATAGTAATATAACTTTAAATAGATACATAAAAGATTGCCATATCTTTTGGAAAAGTATATGCAACTATCAAAATATTAAGAACTGAAGATCTTGGCTCGGCGCCTGTGGCTCAAGCAGCTAAGGCGCCAGCCACATACACCTAAGTTGGCAGGTTCGAATCCAGCCCGGATCCGCCAAACAACAATAATGGCTGCAACCAAAAAATAGCTGGGCGTTGTGGCAGGCGCCTGTGGTCCCAGCTACTTGGGAGGCGGAGGCAGGAGACTTGCTT